GAGAATAATTTTGAAACTTCAGGCATAGTTGAGCTTTTTCGGAGCAGCAGCAGCAGCACATGTGAGTTACAGGAAGGGGAAGAGGGAACGGGGCAGAGCAGTTCTGATCCAGTTAATGGTAACGGAGTACGCCTGTCTTTAACCTGTTAAATGAAGTGTATTGGTACCTGCGGTCGTCAGGCTGGAGAGCTGGATCTCTACCCCGGCCCACAAATCTCTTCACACTTGCATAAAACTTAGGTGAGGAGAAATCCAGCTGCTGTGCTGTTTGTTGCAGAGCTGCGCTTCCTAGTGAAGCATTTGGAGCTGTATTTCTCATTAGTGGCAGGCTGTGGGGAGAAAGGGAGAAATATCTAAAATAGATGATAGACTACACAGGCGTGTGCTGTTTGCTTAAGTGTGTCAAGAAAGAAGATGAGCAATCAGCAAGGATACTAGACAGTGTGGGTTTTTTTCAGCAATTATATGGAAATGTTCATCTCCATTCGCAATTTAATGAGCTAAACAAGCTGCCCAGCCACTTTCGTAGCTGAATCTTGCCTTCGCTACAAAACTCGTTAATTTAAGCCTTTAGGAGAAGGAAAAGTGTCTTTTTATTTTTCTTTTTAGTTGCTGATTCTTCTCGTGTCAGTTTTAACTTATGCACTACTTCTGGGATGTGACAAAATGAAAAAATATTGGCTGTGGAATAGACTTCCTTGGGAGAATGTTACTGCTAAACTTTTTCTCCCTAGCTACCTTTTATAATAGTTACGTTAATCGAGGTCCAGGGCATTTCCTGGGGAAATTAATGACTGGCTGGGGTTAATGGCCCAAGGCATTGCCTCAAGCCATCGACTCTCCCAGCCAGTCATTAATCCCCAGGAAATGCCGTGGCCCTCAATCGTTATTGCTTAATTATAAACAAAGGCTTTCCAGGCATTTTTACTGAATACATCTCATCAAGTAAAGTGACACTAAATTCCGCTGTTGACAAATATTACTGATTCCTTGAAAACGTGAAGGTCACAAGTTTGTGGTTTATTGGTCATCTTTGTAATTTTTCTTCCAGGGGACAGCTTCTGCTGCCCTCGTGGGCTTGTGCGATACTCATGAATAAATGGTGGCATGGTGAGTGGGTTTCTTGGCATTCACGTATGCTCTTTTTTATAGCATTGATAGCATCAAGCAGGAAAAGGTTAAATTAAGGCACTAAATGGGAAGTCTTCAGTTTGCACTGGCTAAAAACTTTAAGTGTAAGAACCTGAGCAAGGATGTTAATTTTACGCTTTTCTGTCGTGGTTAACTCCTATCTTTTGTTTTAGCCCTGAGATGTCTTTTCGACACTGAGTTTATAGGAGCCTCCTCCAGAGCTAGGGAAAGGTACATTAAATGTTCATCTTGATCCAGCTATTGCTTTAGGTTGCAGCCTTGAAAGCAGCATTTGCAGAGGGAATTTTAAGCATACAGCACTGTGCCATCATGGCACAACTTTCTTTTCAGTCCTTATTTGCTCTGAAGTGTAGCAATTTTCCTGCCACTGACAGCAGTACTTCAGTGCGAGTTGATGAGAGAGGGATGCAATTTGGCTGTTGTTCATCTCTTGTGTTACGGAATGATGAACAATAGCTCAAGTTTAAGCTTCTGATGCTACAGTGTGGTGGTAGCTGTTGAGATTTATGGATCTGGTACATGGTGAGCTTACTACAGTAGTAGTACCCAAAAATAGGTCTAGGAAAATAGATTGGCTTCTGCTATGGGCGAGGAGAGTTGCTTGTCACTTGAAAATGCTTCTGTTATGTTGGTTCTCTAACTCCGCTGGGTTTCTCTGGGCAGCTTGTGAAGAGTTTCATCAGCTATTGAGATATCTACCAAACAGTCATTAAAACATGACCCACATCCATTTGTCTTGGCTGTTCTGGGGAATCCTTAAACAGTTTTCCCTCCTGCTTTAAATCTAGAGCTGCACTTTTTGTTTTCTTTTAATCTGGCACGTCTTTTCGTTGCCTTATGCTCTCTTTGAAGGGTTTGCTTTGTCCAGAACCAGAAATCTAGTTCTGGCAGCAGATTTTGGAAAAAAAAAAGGGGGGGGGGAGGGGAGCGGCAAACACATGATGAATATAAGTAGGCAGCAGGCACAACTGGGAACAAATCAAAGTAACTAGTAAGTTAGTCTAGCTCTTTCTAGTCTTTGTTTTTGGAGGTGGATAAGAATCTTGCTGCTTGATCTTTGGGAACATCCTGTATTTCCCTAAAATGGCCACAAAAAAAGGCTTCTGATCTGTACAAATGTTTGTGGTACTCTGACCAGTATCATCGCTAGGTGCTTTCCAAGTGTCAGGGGTAGAACTCATCGGACAGCTTCAGGAAAGGATGCTTAGGATGGTGGTGTTGGGATGCTAGGCTTTATTTCTGTACAGATACTAGATGGGGCAATATCCCGATCTTAAAGGCTTGAAGTACCGCAGATGTTAAGACTGATGACTGTTAAATACCTTGTTGGTTCTTGTGGCAGTACTTCTGTTGATCTGGTTTCGGAGGTTAGTACTGGCTGCCCTACTGCCTAGTTAGTGCCTTCCTCTTTGATTAATGGATTACCCCAGGTTGCAAGAAAATCTAGGATTTGGTCGGTGTCTTTTTAAAAAGAAACACTGAGGTTAAAATCTTAAAACTGTGATGATTAAAGGAACTGTAAAATCTGTGCCTGCCTCAGAGGCTGCTGTTTCTTGGTTGTTCTGGGGGTTTTTTTGGTCGGGAAGATTTTCGTCTTCTACTAAATTACAGATGTGGGAAGTGATTAACCATAGAAGGGACCTATTATGCCTGATAGTCATTGAAATTGCTCTGAAATCCTCGGGAGACGGGGGATAGGGTAGCAGGGGTGTCAAATGTGGTCCCCAAGGACAGCTTTCTTCTCAGTCTCCTTAGGAAAACACATAAACCCTGGCTATTGCTCTCCTTGGCAGAAGTTGGTGTTGCTTGTAACTGAATGCTTCTACAGATTGTTGAACAGAAGTGGGGGCTTTTTGGAAGACAGTAGGATATCCCAGGCTATGTTTCTTGTGACTGAACGTGAGATTTGGTAGGCATGTGAATGTTTCCAGAGATGAGTGCAAGAAAAGCAGAATAGAATTTAGGCTCAGTGTTCTCGTATACAGCTTTGGGGGCTGTATATGCACTGAAAGGAGTGAAGGGAACTGGTTTTTCTTTCATAGACTGGAGTTGTTCCATTTTGGGTCAGCTGTTGGGGAGG